ACACACTCACACACACACTCACACACACGCACACACACATTCACACACTCACACACAAACACACTCACAGATGCATACAGAGAAAGAGAACGAGGGTGAGGCAAACAGACTGAAAGAGAGAGAGAGAGAGAGAGAGAGAGAGAGAGAGAGAGAGAGAGAGAGAGAGGGAGAGAGAGAAAGAGAGAGAGGGAGAGAGAGAGTTTGGGAGAGAGAGAGTGAGGGAGAGAGAGAAAGAGAGAGTGAAGGAGAGAGAGTGAGGGAGAGAGAGAGAGAGAGAGAGAGAGAGAGAGAGAGAGAGAGAGAGAGAAAGAGAGAGAGGGAGAGAGAGAGTTTGGGAGAGAGAGTGAGGGAGAGAGAGAAAGAGAGAGTGAAGGAGAGAGAGAGTGAGGGAGAGAGAGAGAGAGAGAGAGAGAGAGAGAGAGAGAGAGAGAGAGAGAGAGAGAGAGAGAGAGAGAGGGAGAGAGAGATGAAAGAGAGGGGTTGGAAGGGAGAATACATACATCACAACACAAACATACGATATCTCTAGAAAACACATAAGCACACAAACACCTTTCTGTTGTACATTTGCATTAAATGGCACATGTAGTTTTAGTCCCTTTAAAATCCTTGTAATTATACTATCAGAATTTTCACAAATTCTTTTTTCAGTTTTAAGAACAAAATAATAATATAAAACAGCAACAATATTATGTTTTCTCCCGAACTCCTGAAAATTTGACACACAAGCCCGTCTCCCTCTCTGTTTGTCTGCCTGTCTGTCTGTCTGTCTGTCTGTCTGTCTGTCTGTCTGTCTGTCTGTCTGTCTGTCTGTCTGTCTGTCTGTCTGTCTGTCTGTCTGTCTGTCTGTCTGTCTGTCTGGCACTGTCTCCCTCGCTCATCCATATAGGTTTTTTGTTACTCTCTCTCTCCCTCTCTCTCTCTCCTCTCTCTCTCTCTCTCTCTCTCTCTCTCTCTCTCTCTCTCACTCCTCCCTGTCACCATTACGATCCCATTCCTTTATTCTCACACAGGCTCTTAGACAGGCGTACCTTCAGGCAGACAAACATACTTAAAATAATAGCATGTATAGCGCAAATCCCCGCTCAACAGCAAGCTCTATGCGCTTCGCAATCTATTCTATTACCCCAGCAGACCTGAGAGCATTCTGAAACAACCTAAACTCCCTGGGAAGCATACTGTGCAAGCAGCCATTTATAGGCGCTAAAACACTAACATAGTGGCAAGATCTTTCGTGGTCTATGGCCGGGTACCCATTCCCACCTGGGTGAAGTGAGGAAAACTCGTGCATGGGTGAAGTGAGGAAAACTCGTGTATGGGTGAAGTGAGGAAAACTCGTTTAAAGTGCCTTTCACAATTACACAACTTTAGGCCCGCGGCTCGAACCCTCGAACCCGAAACCTCATGATTACCAGTCCGATAGCCAAACCACTAGGCCACCGACGCCACACAAATTCAACACTCACACGTACACACACAAACACATGTATACACACACATACACCCAAGACACACTCATAACAAAACTTCCTCCACCCCACTTCAAAATACCCCCCCCTCCCACTAACCAAATCGACTAGGACAAACACAAATACACAAGCTTTCGCCAACACTAACAAACATCACTTACCCCCCCCCCCCCCAAACCTTGACCGCCTTTAGGAGCCCCCCCCCCCTCCCCTATACGGGCCCAAAAAGGCCCCACAGCCGTCCCGGTGACTTCGGGGCCATTGTTAAAGAACACCGGGGTAGCGGGGTGATGCTTTGCCATCACAGGCAGATTCTTCCTGGAGGAAATTTTATAAATGAGATTCTCCTACTATTTCTGGGGTTTGAAAAAAATCCACACCAACAGTGTGACAGAGGTGTCAAGGGAACCCCCAGAGAACAAACACCATCGTGGTAAGATCTCCGGGGGGTGCGAGCAAAAGAAATGTAGCTCCGCTCAGGGGTAGAAGTCTACCCC